GGTCGGATAGGTCACCGCAACAAGAGACCTGGTGCTTGCCCACCTAACCCGAGCGAGAATACACCTTGTCTACAACCGTGAGTCTTTAGCAGACCCAGTGAACTTCGGCTGTACAGCAGGTGTGCCTTCACACGGATGGACTGCACATGACAACAAGATCATCACAAAAAGTACAAGACAATGTGAAACGATGGGGTAATCGGACTATCCACGTACCGACATGACATCTTAAATTGATACTCGGACATTTTAAATTGAAAAAGGTATGATTTGTGAATCACGTGGCATCGCGTGTTGAACTTAGTCCGACCAACAACNCATGATGAATGCATCAGTCGGTTTGAACATACACTGGTAACAACAAAAGCGAACCAACGAATAGACGTCTACAGACGCTAATGGTATACATTTTGCACTAGAAAGTCATGTATAGATTGCACAGCGAACAATCAGCTTGGAAACGGGAAGAAAGTCAATGTTCTGAGTATACCCCGTAACAGATATTTCACTCATTTTAGATGTTATTTCCTTCTCACTTTATTCAAACTGGTTCACCTTTGTTTTCCTGGAATGGGTTAACACTGATCTGATTATTATAGCTAAAGTAGTTGTATATCATGGTGGAGGTCATATAATCAATTCTGTGGTTAGCCTAACATTGCAACGGATCGGAGGAGTATCTGTAATTAGTATGGGATAATTGGGTCAGAGAAAGCTCCCCTGAAGAAAGGCAGGTAGTTTCGGGATAACTAGACACAGAACTGAATAGGGGTTAAATACCGCATGCAATGTATCGATATTAAGCTGAGGGCGTCACAAAAGATTTAAATTTCTTCGATACATAAAGGAGCCGCAGCATAGTAGATATCAATTCCGTTATAAATAAACAGTTTATAGTCATAAACATTGGGATTAACCAACCTTTCATCGATCCGGTCTATTTCGTCATAAAACTGTCAAGCTATTTCTATANACTACTTATCAGCATCTACTACTGTTTACCCTGCTATGTCTCAGTTCCTGGAATTTACCCACTTTTTACGAATTCCCGAGGGGTGCGACATAGTAAAAGGGTGACTGTGTGTATATTCGTCACANATATATATATATATATATATATATATATATATATATATATATATATATTTCTAGAGGGCGCAATACTGTTGAGTTACTTTCAGGGGAAGCGTAACCTTTCCCTGAGAACCCTCACGATATAAATCCGAAATGAATCGAGACTAGTCCGCACCGTTGAAATGTGCCGACGTTTTCCCAACTAATGCTTCTGAGAGTAATTAGCAGATTACGGGCACCAGATTTGTGCATTTCGTCCATCGCCGCGCACGCGACCCTCAATCCAGGTAAATGTGTATACTTCGATCACCTCCATAAATATCACAACCGGAAAAGTGTTTCATTGGTTACTACACATTCTCTTGCTTGGTTTAAAACCAGGGCCTTGAACCACCGGTTCATCGACCCGGCCCCAGATATTGGATTTTCTTCCTCCTACTGTGGTGGGAAAACACCACCACGGGGTGAACTGTGAGTAGAGCTTCCTATGCAGAAGTTGTTTCTGACGCTTGGTCTCAGCTCAACCTGTAACCCATTGCCCGAGTGGTAACTGGTAATTCATCTGATTGAAACCCACCGTTTGTCGTAACCGGCGGGGGTAAGCTCTTTTCCTGTGATCTTACTACCCACTCACTAATGCAGCACCGCGATAAGATGAATCTATGGTTTTTCTTGTGCCTCGTGCCTGTAATTCTTTCAGTCGAAGATACTGCGTCATATGCTTGTGAAACCTGTTGCGGTCATATCACACTACGACATTCACATACGCTCTAAAATGCGTATGAATCCTACCAGTCGCGAATCCTTTCTCTCGATTGTAATTCAGACAACATTTTTGTGTTTAATTATAGTACCAAGAATTTAAACAGTACAGGAGGGCTTGACCTCAAACGGCTTCAATAGTGGAGATTTTGTTCCTTGTATGGAGACCTGATGGATGAGAAAAATGAAGGTTATTAGGTCACCTATAATCGTTTGGGTGTTTAGGGACGAAGTTCTTAAGCTCATCTTCACAATTGGTGTGAATACACTCCTGCCCACACACTAGTACGTTCTTGTGGATGTTACGGTCACGCATCAGTTGGTAACGCTAGACATTTTCAAGGCCATAAATTGTCCCCTAATTCAACGGATTGATAAGATCACGTAAAATGCCCTTATCACACATCAGTGGTTCAGTCGGATAGAGTATGATAAAGTTATCGGTGATGCTTATGCACCGGGAGAAATAATTTGCATTTTCTTCACATTTGTATTGATGGCATTTCACTTCATTTTATGACATTATCCATTCAGCTTTAGTGGTGATTTATTGTGTTTCTTCATGCTTTGTGGAATAAGTTTCATCAATGTTCAACTGCTTTGATAGTGACTCTACTACTATCCATTCACTCAGTGATTATTTAATTTTCCTCATGATTCATTATTTAGTCCCGCAATATCCAATTTACCGTTTTGGAGTCACAGTGCGACCACGGGCTCCGAATGTTCCTGTGCTCACTGCCCCCACTGTACTTTGTTTCGATCAACTGTTACCGGTCCTTGCAATCCACACGTTCAGTCCACGCATGATGTTCTGCGCCTTTTGTGCTCCGCCTGCCCTCCAGGACACCTCCCACGAACCAGTTGTACTCAGTCTACTCTAGATACGGATAAAAGTCAGGCAGACATGTCTTCTGGTGAACCATGTGTAGAACACGCTCTGTGGTCCGCTTTTAAATTAGCGGCTTCATTCTCGTGTCTTGCCAATACTCATCCGCGCTTTGACGACACAGTTCATCAAGTCAATTCTCATTCGTCCGCTTCCATGACTGGAACTTCCTCTGCTGGACACAAACGTCCCCGTTCTAATGAATCTGGTGTGTCCGAACCGGCAGCCGCAACATCCGTATCAAGCGATCGTGGAACAAATGTTAGTCGTAGCCGTTTAGGACGAAGTAAACACTTTAAGCGTTGGAAAGGACGCTCGAAAGACTCGGTGGACCAAAGTTCTGCAGCGGTGGGAACTGGCTGCAAAACTGGTATCCCACTAGTCGATTCTCGTCGACGATTTCAGAGCGCAGATCGTTGGGGGTCATCACAACCAGGTATGCCTAGTGTATGTTGTACTTGTCGAGGAATGACCACATTGCCAGAACTGATCGGGGAGTGTATTGCTCGTCAAGCGGAACTTGGAGTAAGTCGTAGTATATATCACTTCCCAGTGATCTTTTTTTCTTGTGGCATATAACTTTTTATGCACATGCACGCAATAATTTAGCTCACTAGTGCCGTCTGTTCGCTTGAATTTTTCTTTGATATCGATTGCTTGATTTCCTCACGAACTACCGCTTGTGTGGCCAAGGAATGAGGTTCTATTAGAGGACATTCAATGGATCACTTTGGCGCGCCCTTTATTGGCTACACTACATTTTCTCCCTCTCGGAGTTATTCTGTTTTCGTGAATACCACATGATGACCACTCGAAAGGTCTATTCGAGGTCTCAGTTAATGAATTTCAAACATGATCATCTCAATACTGTGCCTTTCGTGTCCTCGTCGGCTCATTTTCGGATTCCTGTTAAAATGAAGAAACGCAAGCGCGGTGGCTGGCAAGCGGCGCGTAGTCGCACACTACCGTCGAAAATGACTGTCCCCTCATTGGTCAGCACGAACATCCGGTCACTCTTCGCAAAGATGACGGATCTAACGTGCACACTTGATTCACGCATTCACTGTAACACGTGTGCTATTTGTATTCAAGAATCCTGGCTTGACAATAATGTCGAGGACTCACTAGTTGGAATCAGTGGCTTTAAATGCTTTCGTAAGGATAGAGGAAACTGCAGGAAGAAAACAGGAGGTGGAGTGATCACGTATATCAACTCAACCTGGAGCGGCAAGTCGGAAATTCTTTTTGATTATTCCGCCAATGGCATCGACTGCTTAGCTATTCAGTGTTTTCCAAGATTTTCTCGATATAGAAGTGTACTCCCGTCCCACTCACAACACACTCACGAGAACCAACCAAATCACTATTCGTCTCCGTAATCTTTCCCCAGGAAACATCCTCCTTCTTAAGCGTTCTGCTGGTGTCGTTTCTTCGTGGTTTTCTTCTTATCCCTCTTTACGTAATGCAGTCAGCTTGTGCACTGAAACACTTAATCATATATTTAACCTGTGCTGTCCTTTTGAAACTCTTTTTGTTTGTAACGGCAGAATAGCATCTCCCTTGCTGAAATCATTCAGAAGACAGAAGGAACGATTGTATAAATCTAGAGACTCAGCGGCTGTCAAGCATTACACCAACTT